CCCCAAAACCCCAAAACCCCAAAACCCCAAAACCCCTTAAATAAAACTCAATCTTGAAATAAAATTTATCAGCAATGGGACTAGTTAATGCCGCTGAGAAGTTCAAGCTTTGTTCTAATAGAGTCTATGAGCATCCCATTGATTTCTCTAGTGTCATCAATAGTGGAAGTATTATTAGCTTTAAGCAGAGCCTCTTTCCTGTTCATTTCTTCCTCCATTACTGATGCCTTCTGCTTGATGTATTCTATCCTTTCACCTTGGGTATAGTGGCCCTTGAGCATATCTTGTTCCCATCTCTCTTGACTTTTGTTCTGTCTTGAGTAAATCTTGTCTTCCTAGAAGGCACAAATGATTAGTAAGGAGAGCTTATTCAGAAAATTCTAGCAAGAATAAAAGTACGAATTATTTATACCTTCTTCTGTCTTCTCTCTTGGAGATAGTCGTGCTTTACAAATGGATATTTTTCGTTAGGCTTTGGATGGTAAGAATACCTCTTCTCATCCAAAGGCTTTGGCTTCAAGAACTTCTTATGGCTCTTTCTTAAAGGAGGGGATGACTCTGTGCTTAACTTGTTGCTGACTGGAGACATCATACTACTGTTGTGGTTTTCCTTCGTAGTTTGGAGACCTCTACGAGACTTTGAAAGAGAATGAGGGTTCTCAAGATTTTTCTTAATTAACTCCATCTCAAGTTTCTTCTTCTTACTAACAGTTGGTTTATACAACTCTTTAATGTTCTTTGCATAGTTCAATGATCTTTTGAGTTTTTCTTTTACCTGAGATTTCTCCTTCTCAGCTAGAGTTTTTTCAATCTGCTCTCGGCTATTTACAACTTTCCAGAATTTGGAGTTATATCTATCCTTGTTATCCTTCGCTGCATGCGCATAAGTTGCTCTTCTCTTGAAATATTCCTTCATTTTCTCCTTAAACAGTTGTTTTTTATGCTCCGAGTGCTGCTTAATTTCGTTCAGTCTTATCGGTTGGTGCAGGTTCCTGATCTGTGAGAGCATCTCTTTTCTCCTATGTAGCTCTGAACCCATGAAGCCTTTGTCCTCATCCTGGAACTCAGCCTGTATCTTTTGATGAAGAGGGGATCTGCTGACGTATTTATGTATTTGTTTCTTATCATCTTGCTTGAAATCTTTGATTCTTTGTCTACGAGCCTGGATAGTTTCTATTATGCTTTGTTTATTTCTGCTCGAATTCAGCCTTTTCCTTCTGTTCTTGCTCTTGAAGCAATTTGAGCTTCTCTTCCTGTATTTTTTGCTGACGGAGTTCTTGCTCTTTTATTCTAAGGCGTTGGGCAGCCTTTCTTTTGCGACGTTCTTGCTGGAGTTTTTGGACAAGGGTTTTGCATGTTTCAGTTGGTTTTATTGGAAGAGAAGGCTTTTGGAAGTGAGATTAGAGAAGAGATTAACTGTTTAGATAAATTTTAAAGTGTTAAATTTGGGTTTACACCTATGAGGATAAAAATCTAGGAACGGGATTAATAGATGATTCTGGTTTAGAAGAGTTCAGGTAAATTATATCTCTAAAATAATAATACTACTCTATTCCCTATAATATCCCCATTTTCTATTTCCACACCCCATTCCAAAATACCTCATCCCTTGAATACCTACCCTATCAAAACCTTACCAACCACCGCTTCCAAACCACCCTCACGCACAAATCCCAAATTTCTTCATGAACCCTCCTAGTCACCTTCTGCTTGCTCCAAGCAGAAGGCCAAGCCAAATTTGTGCACAGCATAAGAAATTTGAAGGCAAAAGAAGGACTGTAAAGTTTTAACTTTAAGTAAGAAATTGGGTTTTTGAATGGATTTTGGGGGATTTTTAAGGAGAAGAGAACGTACCTTGGATTTTCCGACCTGTGTGCGGATCTGGTCGGCGAGAGCGTCGTCTTCGAGCTCAGCGATGTACTGGTCGAGGTCGTCGCTGTCACTATGGGTGGGTTAGAGGAGGTTTGGAGTAATTTACCCTTCTTCGGCTTTTTGGAGGAGTTTTTCGAGCTTTTGGTCAACAAGAGCTTTTCTAGCATGATAGTCGTCTAGAGAGGGATTAATGAGGGAAAGAATTGTACTATTCTGCCACTAAGCCCCATCCTTCTGAAAGTAACTCTTAAGACTCCCCTCTTCAACCCCAATCTTTAGGCCTACCTTTAGTCAATGCTGCTGCATTTTTAAACTCTACAGAATCAATGTTAGCAACATATAAAACTCCTTCCACCACACCCCTATTAACTAATCCAAAGCCATAAACTAAACCCACAAATCATACCTAGCATATTCAAGCGATCTCCTTGCCTCTTCAGTCACCATTTTAGCCTGAAGCTTCCTACTTGTCAATGTAATGTCATCTTTATACGGCGCTACTTCCTTCTTCCCTGACTTAATAAGCTCGCTGACCCTGGCCTGCTTCATGTGAATAGCAGATGTGACCAGGTCGCTGATATCTAAAGAGGGGTCGAGGGATAAGTTCAGGTTCTGTTTAGCCATGCTGTTTGTGGTGAGCATCTATGGTAGAATAAAAGGTGCCAGTTAAGATAGTGAAATATGGCTATTATGTTTTTGATGTTTTAGAAATAATTCGGGGGTCTAACATGATCAAAAATCTTAGTATTTAAGCGAATCTTTGGCTCCAGTAAGTTTGTAGAACGACCAAGATCTCAAACAGGAAAGTTTCAGAGGGAAATAAGGTAATTTAATTGATCTGTAAACTAGATCCCTGAAAACCAATGATAGAATTTAATAGTTTGATAAAGATGTTAGCTCAGATGACACAAATAGTTTAGAAGAGATAAAATGGTGTTTCTTTGAGGAATTCTAACGTCAATTTACAGACAGAAATCTTGGCACGGTTTAATATCATTGCAACCTCAATAATTAATATGAACCGACTGGACTGCATAAGTCCTTTATTTTGTTAAATACTTCAATTATCTAGAACTGGGTTGCAGCTAGCTAAATCAAATTAGGTTTTTATTTTTAGATAGTCTGTGGTCTTGGCTATTATCTTGGAGGTAATTTAATGGACCATTAAGAAACAGTTACTTAAGCTGGTAATTTCTCAAACATTTTTTTAAGTAAGGAAAATTTACTTAAACTTTCATACTAGAAATTTTAATATTCTTACTTTATTAAAAAATCCCTCTTGGTAATCACAAATAAAGCTTATCCCAACATCAAAACCCCAAAAACTATCAACCGCCTCCTTTCAACATAAACCTCTACTCAAAAACCTTAAAAACTCCTAAAACCATTAAAAAAACTCACAACCCCCATTCTCTCACCCCCAAGCACATTCTCCATCTAAATTCCCCTCTCCTCCAAATCCCCATCCCTGGCTCCTCTTCCTTTGCCCCCCAAACCCCTCAAAAGCCCCTAAATCCCCATTTAAATCCCTTTATTACTCACTTTCCAAATTCTCTCGTATAAAAATTATATAGTTCAGCTACAGCCCACTTAAAAGGGGTTTTGGGGTTTTGGGGTTTTGGGGTTTTGGGG